AAATATTCAAAGTTGAAAAAGAGGAACAGTCGAGGCTTTTTAACATGTCTCGAAGAAAAAAGGATTCCAAAATCCTGGAAAACTCAAGTTCAATCTCCTAGAAACTGGATAAAAACCATTTGATTGATGTTGAAGGAACAAATCGAGATGTTAAAAGAAGAGCAAATCAAGATGTTGAAAATTGAAAAAGAGAGACACTCAAGGAGGCATTCCATCATGTCTCGAAGAAAAAAGGATTCCAAAATCCCGCAAAGCAAAAACTAAAGTTCTAGCTTCTAGAAACTGGATAAAAATCATTTGATTGATGTTGAAGGAACAAATCGAGATGTTAAAAGAAGAGCAAATCAAAATGTTCAAAGTTGAAAAAGAGAAACACCCGAGGAGGCATTTCAACATGTCTCGAAGAAAAAAGGATTCCAAAATCCTGGAAAACTCAAGTTCAATCTTCTAGAAACTGGATAAAAATCATTTGATTGATGTTGAAGGAACAAATCAAAATGTTAAAAAAAGAGCAAATCGATATGTTGAAAGTTGAAAAAGGCAGACACTCAGGGAGGTATTTCAACATGTCAATAAAAACGACGTTCATAGATCATGTCAAACCAAGTGTTGAACAATTGCAAGGTTGGCACTTCTCATATAATGAAACCTCAAATGGAACATTCCTTAGAAAATTAAAGTTGATGTTTCTAACTGACTATTAGGGACTTAGAAGAATATTTTACTCAAATCTTAGTTAAATAGTTTACAGTTAAAGCTCTGTTACTTCTAAATTAAAGCAAATTCGAAGGCATATCATAATTTTATCACTACAGAACTTTGAGGTATTACCACAAAATTTCCTTTAATTACCCCCAAAATTGCCTTAAATTGCCCCAAATTACCAAAAATTACCTCGAATTACCACTATATTTCCACTAATTTCCACTAAATACCAGTCATTACCACTAATTTCCAGTCATTACCACTCATTTCCCATGAAATTTCCACTAATTACCACCATTGTGTACACTAAATTACCACAATGAAATCCCCCTCGGATTTTTATTTCTAAATCACGGAAATCAACTTGGGGGATGGCAAATTGGGGGAGTCCGATACCCCTAAAATGTTTGCGAGTCGCCTGCGCGCATACGTGCCATTTCCGAGAAAAGTCGTAGAGGAAAAGTTGTAGGACTTGATGTAAGCAAGCCACTCACAAAGTATGGGGTTTACATGTATAACTGAAAAAAAAGGTCCTTGGATGGTTGACTACTAGTTTCTGTCCGACTTCATAGTTGACGTACCTAGTCAAAAAATATTCTATTAATGGCCGTTTCCACCAACGCAAATTTAAGTTTACTTAACGTTAAGTGCCGCTTATATTATAATTTCTTTTCCACCAGTCTAACCTAGTGTCATTGAGATAAACTTAACTAAGCCCAGGAATTTCTAGGCTTATTCTTCCCTTAACAGAGTGGCGATGATATATGCGCAAGCAATTTGCATCATGCCTTTGTTGACATAAGCAAACGTTAAAGTTGATGCTTCACAGAAAGTAGCAAAAATTGAATTGAGATAAAATTTTCTCAATTTTCTAATTTCTGGTAAAGTTTGCGTTCTGTTGTGTTTAAGAAAATTGTTGTTTGAAAAATGGATATACCTAAGATGATTTAGAAGTATTGGATTTGTTTGAAGATGTGGTACCCATCCCCAGAAAAATGTATGATAGAAATAATCATTTTGAGGAGATGGACAATCTAACGTTTTTTGAAGATTCAGATTCAGATTGACAAAACCCACTGTGTTGCAACTTCTAGAACAAATTGAATCATCCTTAGAATTTCCTATAGGTGAATTTGGAGTGATTGTGTTAAACTCATTGGCTAATTTTCGCCAAATTTTTGTTTTTTTCTGAAACCGATACTGCATCCGTTTTCTTGTTGTTTATTATATGTTTGTACATTGCCGAAAGGTTTACCAGAAGATCTTTTTTTTGGGCAGTACCTATAATTTCCCGAGTAATTTCCAGCTCTTATTTTTCCATTTTCATTCATTGTTGAACGGACGTGTTGTCGCTAGGTATTGTAAATCACAAATTAAAAGTGACTTATTTTTATTTATTCAAACCACGAATCTATCGTCAATAATTTTAAAACATTATTTATTTTCTGGACTTCAAAATTCCATCAAACCACTACACAAAGCCGAGTTTGAGGTTATGATGGCGAACAAAAGCAAGGTTGCCAAAGCTAAACAACACTTAGTTAAGATTCATCAGAAAGGCGGTAGTGGAATGCAAATTTAATTAAGCGGTGCTTACGTTTTAAGGGACGCTTAAATATTCTCAGCTTAGAGCTTTATTGGTGGAAACGGCCATAAATAATCAAGATTAAAGTTGCAAGCAAAAATCTAAGCAAAATAATTTATAATACGCATAAAAACGTATTCAAAACAAACTTGCTTGGCCGCCACGCCATATTGAATATTCCTTTTTGACAGATAGGATTGGATTGCCTAAGGTCGTGTTTATGTTGGAGCTGTGATACACGATAAAAGCAACGATACTAATGTTATAGTATTATTGGTATCGTTGCTTTTATCGTTTATCATAGTTCTATCATAATCACGGCCTAATGCATAAAGCAAAGGACCGCGGAATCATAACCTGTGATGCAAACACAAGGCCTTAAACGACGTCATAACTGGTGATTTGGCGTAGTGGGGGCTTCAGATTTGTTCTACACAGGTTCTATGAGGATAGGCTATCCTGTAGTAGTAGTATGTATTATTCTTGGGTATAATCAGATGGGTATATCATAAAGAATAAAATCCAGCCGTGTTTTGTTTTTAGTTTTCTATTTCGTTGAGTATGTAAAAGCCCAGTCATTGTTTCCGTTTCCGTAGAAAGTTTATTTCTTTGTGCTGTTTTCATTCTATTTATTCCTAAGAATGTGCGCTCAACATTGGCGGAAGAATGGGGCAATGACAAGATATTATAAACAAATTCGGATATCACAGGACCCACGGGTATTCCCTGAAAGAAATGCACTGATACCAACCATTGCTAACAAATTTGTCGTCGGAGGATCTATTTGACATCTGACACGGACAAACAATTTGATAGTAAATCGGGTGCGGTTATCGATAGAAAAATCGACTGATAAAATTGATTTTTTGGCGAAAAACGGTAAAAAAATCGGTAAAATCGTGATTATTGTCGAAAATCGGTAGAAATTCATGAGTATTCGGTATTTTGGTAGGTCCGTTGCCATTTCGGTAGAAATACCGAAATTTCGGTAGCTTCGACAACACTGAGCGCGAGTCTACTGTACTTTGAAAAATTGGCTGACATTTTCATTATATTCAACAGAATTGAATTTCACTTGACTTAGGGCCGGTATTATAAAACACTGAACTGAACCGATGGTAGAGTTTCAAGTTCCAACCTTCGGTTGAATCCTATCAATTTGCATGAAGTCAACCGAAGGTTGAAACTCAATCATCGATTCAGTGCTTTATAATATATTACCGACCATTGGAAAATTACCTAAACAAATGATGCAAATACATAGTGAATTTGTTGCGGAAAAAAATTCCATCATTTTTAACAAATATCGATATCAAATAAGTACGTTAAAATGCTCAAAAAGGGGCTTGGCACCGAAAAAAATTAGCCTACGGCGGTTGCCTGCGGCGCTAATGGAAATGGTCTTATTATAATACTGCCCCCCCCCTGTGAAACCTCGTAACGACGCTCATGCTGCTAAGTTAACACGAGTAAAATTCTTGAGACAATGGGGTAGTATACAAGTGATTTTTAACTACTGCGTAGTGATATACTCGATGTATCGTACTATTTAGTGTAATCAGTTGCTTTGTAAAAACCACAATGCACTGGAATTTGCTTTTTTAAATTTCCCCTAAAATTTGTTTTTTTTTTAAAGATAATTTGCCACGTCAAAAATTTAGTAACTGTTGGCAACACAAGCCTATAACCCTTTTCACGTGACTCCGGTTTAACAAACCGCAACATACCGCTCAAATTCGAGTGATGTCGATTACGTCACTTTGTAACGGGGTTAGAAAACGGTATGTGATACTTGACATACCGCTACTAACCGTTTTGTAACCCAGTTAGTTTAAACGGAGCCACGTGAAAAGGACTTTTTCTACATAAAAAATTTGAAAGCTTGACAATTTTACATTGTATTGCCAACATAATGTCATTTTGACTTTTATCTTAAAAAAAAAAAACAGACTTTATGTGAAAATAGAAGTTCGTGACGTAGTTAGTTTTTCTAATTTGGCAATACATCACGGTTTTGAGAACGCACAATTTGCACTGACATTGACCGTCAAAAATGAAACGTCAAACATGTCACACGACACCATACGTCGTTGAACTGTTGAAGTCAGCTGTCGTTTTGAGGCATTTTGAGCAGCGTTACCAGGTGGTCAGCGGCTCGAATACTATCGGTCGCCGCTGTAGCGATAAATTCAAATTACAGTTTGTTTTTCTCCGACTAATTTTATAGACACTATGCTGAAAAATAGTTTAGTATCCTACCATAGCATCACCATTTAGCCTATAGAATAATGTCGAGCAGTCTTTTTCCTGATTTTCATACATAGTATACTACCCGATTCCAGTTTTGGTGTTTGAATCGGTTATACAAATCGACAAAATTTGCTTTCCTAAAATTATATTTGGTATTGGGAAATTGTTTACAGTTTGATTCATGAAGAGCTTTTGGTAGGACAGCAATCAAACCAGGATAATGAAGATCCACTAGTAACAGTGGATCATCATCAATGTTGACACTCACATCATTGAAAGCTGAAATTATAAAATAAAGTATAACATTGTTTGCATTACGAACCTGGTTAAATTGCTGTAAATTGTTAAATGCTAAAAAACTCTTAAAATTAAGTAGGACATCAATAAATAACGAGCTGTTCACATAAGACTTCTGACTTTATTATATAAAATTGCTGATATCAATTATTTTACATTTCAGTCCAATGGTTTAGTGAGCGAATTTGTCGATCAAAAAGCCTTTTTAAGTGCCTCTTATTCGCCGTTAAGTAAAACACTACTGGCAAGCTGTACTGATAAAAATATTCGACTTTACGATCCCAGATCAACAGAGGGCACTATTTGTAAATCAGTATTTACGTCTCATTCCCAATGGGTAAGTTTGGATTCATTGGATTAATCAATTTTCATCTATACCATTTTCAAATCCAAGCGGCAGTAAATGATTATTACTAAATAACCTGAATTATTGTAAAGAAACACCAGCCTTCCTATTGGTTGAAAAGTCCTACCAGGATCAATGGATTTGATAGGTTGTAATGAAAATGACCAGTTAAGCTCAATTTATAAACTCACCGTCGGGATTCCGTTTGCGTCTGCGATTGCGTCGGCCTCGCTGGTTACCAGAGTCTTTATGCGGACGGCGAGTATAAACGATCTCATGGGTTTTTTAAGATTCAATTGGTAACGGCATGTTTGACGCAAACGGAATCTGGACGGCGAGTTTATAAATTGGGCTTCAATGTCATTACTGCCGCTTGGATTTGGTTCAATTATATAATATATTATAATTAACACATTCAATGACACCCGATTTTGTTGACATATTTTTAACTGGTGTTTAACTGGCATTAGCGGCATTTCCTGCCAACGTCATTATACGACTGCGGGCGCTGACGTTATATGACGCATTTCCTTTTTTTGGTTCTGGTCTTTTAAGCTCCTGACGGAGCTAGCGTTGTATGCCGTCGATTTAGCATATATTTGGTGTTAGGGTGCCATATTGGAAACCCAAAAATATATATTTAGAATGGATAGTATAATTTACGTCCCCGGAACCAACCGAGACACAGGTTAATACATTGCAGCATATCAAGGTGTCGTTCTGAGCGCACATCCATATTTTTGGTGCCGTTTTCGACACAGTGGCTATGACGGCAAATGCCGCGGGTGTCATTGTATGTGTTAGATAAAAATATAGTCTTTTTGATCAAACATTTTTCATCAATTATCAAATTTATTAGGTAAGTGATGTCACTTGGTCCAAGTACAACGAACACCTTTTCTTATCCGGAGCTTACGACGCCACAGTCAAAATGTGGGATACGAGAAGCCCCAAAGCGCCCCTTTTCAATTTGCAGGGACACGAAGGACAAGTTTTGGCAGTGGATTGGTCAAACGATAAATATTTGGTTTCGGGTGGTGCTGACAATATGGTTCATATATTTAAGAATAAACATGTTACCAAGTAAATATTTTCACTGGATAATATATAAACTTAAAATAAGTAAAGTACAATTTTTTTTTTTAGTTTTAATATTATTTATATTCTGTTTAGCGCCAACTTGAAAAGGAAGCTCCCCTGAAAGTAAAAATTAAATTAATTTATTGATGATTGGTAAATTCATTGAGGGTTAAGTTTTTTTGGACCTTTATCAAAGTTTTGAATTTAATTTCCAACGAAATTATGTATTACTAAAATTGAGTGATGTCCACTGATCTCAAAAATAAATGAATTAACAAAGAACGCTTCTAATGCTGCTAATTTACAAGGTCATGAGTAAACTGGGCTGTGAGCGTGCGAAGTAGATACATGTACGATACGTGCGCAAAATATAGTCAATGAAAATGAAAGATATTTCAAAATTAAGACAAGCTAAGACACCGCGCAGGCGTTAGGTTGTTCCGTTGCACAACTGTTAGTAGATATATTGACCCCCAAATTTTTGCACAAGATTGATACGATTGTTTATCCATTTATTTTTGAGATCAGTGGTAACGTCTCGAAACTTATTGGAACCATTTTGAAATAGTAAAGTTTACAAGTACTCACCCTGAAAACGGAATTGAAGTAGGAGTACTGGCCTGTTGCGCCAATGTGCCGAATCCTATAGTATTTTGATTGGCCAAGTTTCCAAATATCGTCGATTCTTGCCTTGCCGTAGCTCCAAATGCTCCTGAAATGCAACAAAAAGTTTTCTGTGATCCTGATTCTATTATAAGTCTTCAAAAAAAAAAAACATATTAAAGAGTGCTTTGATTAGGAAAACGTACGTAAAGTAGATAAAGTATTGGTAGATTTTTTAAATTTACAGCCGTATGCAATGCACATCCTCTTTTAAATTTAAGAGCGCCTTTAAAACTTGTCACTTTTAAAAATTTATTTAAGCAATACAAATTTTTAAAATTAACGATGTTGCATACGGCTGTTAATAAATATTAAGTACTTTTACATACAATTTCCATCACAATCACAATTAATTAGTTGGTGATGTATTAAATAAAACTACTAACCAGTAGGTGCAGCAGCACTTCCTCCAAATCCTTTATCGGGACTGCCAAATGTCGATGGCGCCCCAAAAGTGGATTGACCAAAACTGGAAGTTCCAAAAGTGGAAGTACCGAAAGTGGATCCGCCAAACATTGATCCGCCACTACTTCCAAATCCCGACGAACCCGGATAACTGGGTGGCGACCCGAAAGCGCCTTGGGCGGTGGCAGGGCCGCCGCTAAAAGGTCCGGGGGTGGTTTGAGGGCTACCAAAGGAAGACGAGCCAAAAGTTGACGTTTGTCCGAAAGTTGAGGAACCAAATGCACTGGGACTGGTAGAACCAAAACCACCACCACCTGGAAAAAAAATTAAACCATTATAATCAAATCAAAACAAATGACGCTTTACGAGTGAAGAGTGGACGAGATAAAATTCGGATTTTTTTCAGTGAATATACTTAGTGTTTAATGTCAGGCGCGGATCCAGGGAGGGGCCATGGGGGTCATGGCCCCCCCCTAGATAAGAAAAAATAATTTTAAAAATCAACATTAAATCGACCAATTTTTCCGGGTTTACCAGGGCCCGTATATAACAGAATTTTATTTCATGGCGTCATTTTATCACGGACCTCCAGCCTATTCTATTTGTATATACAGGGTCTTTTTTTTATATTTTCCCACCCCCCCTTAACTTTTTTGTGCCACTGTGTATAAAAAAAATTTAAATAGGAAAGTTGAAATGTTTGAAAAATAGTTCTCAGAAAACATAGTTTTGTTCATACAGGGTGTTGCAAAAAGTTTAAAAAACAAAAAAATATATTTTTTTAAATGGGATACCCTCTATATACAGGGTGTCCCAAAAAGATACCGACAAACTTTAAGGAGTAGTAGGAGAGATCAAAACAAGTATTTTTGTTTATATAAACATATGTCCGCAAATGAGCCATTTGGGCTGTAGAGCAAAAAAACTGTTTGGTATCTAGTTTTATTATTCGCAATAATTAAATCACTGTTTACTTATTAATTTTACTTTAATAGCAAATAAATTATGGTTTACAATAATTGTTCAACTTGCGAACTCTTTGGAATATTCCAGGAATAGCTTCTACATGAATTTGTGCAAAATAAACTTAAAGTGGATGATAGCAATCTTTCTGTTCAGAAGCTGGTGGTCAGAAACAGGATGAAATCGTTTAAGCTTGGTATTGCTAAAAACTACTTTGATACTATCAATGATTGTAACTTTTGGCCTCGTGGAGTGGTTTTTAAGGAATTTCAATTTAGACCACGGCAGTCTAGAAATGAGGGAGTGAAGCTGGATTCACAATTGAATGACAGGCAAGATAGAACACTTCGAAATGATCGACCATCAAATTTTGTTCAGGAGACGCATATTCTGGCAACAGCGTAGCTCTAACAGGCTACTATCAAAATGTACGGGGGTTGAGAACAAAACTAACCACCCTTATGTGCAATATTTCCATGGAAAATTATGATTTTGTATTATTTACTGAGACTTTCCTGAACAAAGACATTTTGTCGAGCGAATTGGGAATGAGTAATTACTTAATATTTCGCTGTGATCGTTCTGATAGAACCAGTGTCCATAAGTCACAAGGGGGTGTTATGGTTGCAGTGAGGAAGTGTCTTAATTGTAGACAGATATCTACTCAATTTGAATCAGTGGAACACATTTTTGTACTGGTTTCTTTGAAAAAGCATCATATTTTGTTGGGCAATGCTTATCTGCCCCCAGATTCTCCTATGGATACCTATGAAAGTTACTGCTCATCCGTAACAGCTGCGTTGGAAATATGTAGTAGTTGTCAAAACTTGGAAATCTATTTATGTGGAGATTTTAACAGACCGGATGTGTCCTGGATCAATGATTTGCATGGGACTAGGGCTATTGGTAAACAATCTAAACAAACCACAGAGTTAGCTGACTGCATGGCTTTCCACAGCTTATATCAAGTGAATAATATTTCTAATATTTATGGGAACTTTCTGGATTTGATATTTTGTAGTAATAAAGATGTATGTACCTCAATATCAGCCGATCCACTTTTGAATTTGGACACACCTCATCCTGCTTTGGTTTTTGATGTATTGATTTCAAATATTAATTCTAATAAGTTGGAGTATGATTATTGTTTTCTAGATTATAAGAATTGTAATTTTAGGGATTTAAATGTTTATCTGTCTTGTGTGGATTGGGACTCTTTTGTTAATATGGATGATATAAACTCTGCTGTCGAAACTTTCTATAATCAAATTTATCATGCTATTGAGATCTTTACACCCATTTCAAAAAGAAAAACAGCAAAATTTCCAAGATGGATGGATAATCATTTAAAATATTTAATTTTGTCTAAAAAAAAGGCACATCAAAACTATAAAAATACCATGCCGCTCAGGATTATAGAGTTTTTTCAGAAATTAGGAAAGAATGTAAAATTTATTCTCATATCAGCCATAGGAATTTCATCGAGAAAATCGAGTCCGAGACACGATCGAAAAATGAAAATCGTGGATATCCCAGTTCTATGTTTTTTAATGAGCATGAAGGTAGCACACCTCATGAAATTGTCAATCTCTTTAAGGATAGTTTTTCCTCAATTTATACTGAGGTGAGTGTTGAGAGTGATCGAAACATTCCTGTCTCTAATTTATCTAGTTTGTCTAATTGCAGTATCAGTTCAGTTCAAATTACCCCTCTTGAAATATTTAACAAGATATATTCATTGAAAAATGGATTGGGTTGTGGTCCAGATGACATCCCAGTATTGTTTGTTAAGAATTGTAGTTGTATTCTTTCAGAGATATTATGTAAAATATTCAATAAGGCTTTAGAGTTGGGACGGTTTCCTGATATGTGGAAATTAAGCTATATAGCTCCTGTGTTTAAAAGTGGAGAAAGAAATAATATTAAAAACTATAGGGTCATATCCAAAATGTCTATTTTTTCTAAGGTATTTGAGTCTATAATAACGGATTTTCTTACACCAATTTTGAAACATGTTATTGTACCAGAACAGCATGGCTTTATTAGGGGTAGATCTACATTGACTAATCTTCTGGTCTATGAGGAGGCTCTGTTGGAGGGGTTGGAGAATAAGTGTCAGATTGACTCGGTCTACACTGACTTCTCCAAGGCCTTTGACAGGGTTGACCATAAGATACTATTGGAGAAGGTGGCCGATGTGGGGCTGCATGGAGGTCTATTGAGCTTGATTGGAAGTCTTCTCACAGGTAGAAAACAGGCTGTAAAAATTGAGAATTACATCTCTTCAGTATTTTCGGTGACCTCGGGGGTGCCTCAGGGAGGACACCTGTCTCCTTTGCTTTTTAGTATATTTATTAATGATCTGTCAGGTGTCTTCAGAAATTCCGATTTTTTGCTCTTGGCTGATGACTTGAAGTGTTTTATGGTTTTTCGGGATGTCAGGGATGCTCAATTATTGCAAGTGGACTTGGATATGTTTCGGACTTGGTGTCAAAGAAACAAACTCCCCTTAAATGTTGAGAAGTGTAAGATTATTACTTTTTCTCGGAAAAAAACACCATACTTACATAATTACGTTCTTAATGATTTGGAGATTAACAGGTTTGAGACTTGGGAGTCTATTTCAACGCTAATGTAAGCTTCACAGAGCACATTGAAATAACTGCTAATAAAGCAATGAAATTACTAGGCTTTATGTTCAGGTCACTAAAAGAATTTACTAATATCTACACCCTAAGAAACATTTATTGTGCAATTGTTAGATCAGTTGTAGAATATGCTTGCCCTGTCTGGTCCCCTTATTATGCTGTACACATCTCCCACTTGGAACGAATCCAAAAAAAGTTTTTAAGATCCATTGCATATCGATTGGGCATCCCAAGTGAATTTATAAATTATAATGAGTTAATGTCTGTCCTAAATCTTGAAAATCTGAACCAGAGGCGACAGTTTTTTGATATGTGTACTTTGTTTAAGATTGTTAATAATTCTATTGATTCTCCAGACTTACTTGCTAGAGTTGGCTTACATGTACCATCTAGCAATTTAAGAGGAAACACATTGTTTAAC